CGCTTACGGTCTCCGTCCCCGATTATGGCTCCTGATAAGATAACATAAGATAAGAGCCTTTATTTAAATATCAAATGTATTTAGCCCTAACGGACTAATTGCGGACACTAAACAAGAGCCTTAAGGTGATTCCTGAGAATTGCATTGCACATCCCTACTGCGCACGATTTTCGCGTCATTAGCGCGCGCTCGCGAGTGCGTGCATATACACGACATATACAAAATGGTGGCTTTTGCTAAACGGCCTGGCTTGCGAGAGACAAATCATCGTTTTTTCTCGGAAACGAGTACCGGGACCCAACGATTTTTTTATTTCGAATGCAGCGATCAACTTCATCACTGAAAATGAGAGCATACCTAGTGTTCGGAAAAGATTATATGTGCCCCCAAGAACGCTGCATGCCTGGAACATAAGGAATTCCTGTAGGCTAAATATGAGCGTAAAGTGAATAGTTCAAATATAAACGACTCTGAAAGCGGATAATTTAAGGAATTATGGGGTTTATTGAAGGTCCTCCTGCTCCTAAACGAATACCGGGACCCCCATTTTTTATTCAAAATTTAAGGTCTCTTTAAATAAGCAGCCAACAGGTAAAGTTTGAAAGAAAATCTATTGTCAGTTCTATTTCGATGGAATTACCTTAAGTACTAAAAAGTAAATGCTAAACTAATGAAAAATTATTAAAATTATTTACACAAGGGCCTTAAGTACTAATAATGCTAAAATGATAAAAAAGTGTTTAAATTATTTACAATGTTATCTATTCACTGGAAAGTTTACAGCAATTACAGTTATTAGTAACAAAGTCTGATGAGTTAAATTTTCTGATTCTGTTTCGGAAAGTAGTGCTACAACAAATACCTTGAAACGGATTTCGAGACTTTGTAAGAAAAGCACGGGTTTGCATGGTGTACGTGTACTGGTGCTGATGGGCTAAAATGTAACAAGACGTTAATTTTATGGTGCAATTACAGTATTTAAGGTGATGGAGCATACCTGATCACTTCCTGCATATTCGTTTAGTTCTTTAACTGTCAACTTCCTGTACAAATTTTTGTCATCATAGGCTTTTCTACCACTTGGCATGGCCTGAACATAGTGAAAAATATGGCCGAAATACATTACTGGAGATTCTCTGTGTCAAGACAACGGAACCAATGGAAAAACAACATGATACATACAAACGGAACAAACCTGAGCGAGTTTGATCTCAAAGTCGATGATATTCATGATTTCACTGTGTGAATCGTTTTTTGCTCCTAATGCTCTTGTCAGATTAAAAAGAAAGTCTTTATAGACTTCTCGTCCCTAGGAAAGAAAACAGAAACCAGCTAACAGCATGTTACACTGTTCTCAAAATGAGAAAGATATCTTATCTTTAAAAACCTCGATGTTAGGCCTGGTTCACACTAGCGACATAACGACATAATGACATATAATGTAAACATCCACTTAAAGACATAAGGAAAAGATCAGTTTTTTTTCCTTATGTTATTGTTCATGCTGTTATGTTGCTATTATGCCATTATGTCAGGATGATCACATTGCAGACATAATGACATAACGTCCTTCTTAAGTCGTTAGGTTTATAAACCTATGTCGTTATGTCACCAGTGTGAACATTTCTCTAATTCTGATAATAAATAGATTTAGCCGAGCGTAAAAGCGGAGCCCTGGGCCAGGTTGTTCAAAGCCCGATTAAGGTGGCTCCCTATGGTTTTGAGGTCGCACGCGCGCTGAGGACGAAAGGTTAAGTAATCTGCGCGCGCGCGAAGGAAAGCGCCGGTGTTTTTCGATATTTTATGACGTCAACATGAGCACACAAAGTAAAACTGACAGTGAATTTTTTCGTGTTTCCTTCGGTGAAATTCCATAAAATTTGGCAGACTGGTAGTAAATATTTTACCTTAGTCGGAGCTCGTTTTTCTGGGAATTCTATAAGACCAGTTTTTTCGCAGCGGTAAAAGACATAAATTTGCAAAAATCGAAAAAACTGCCTCTATAAACCATGCTTTTTTCATGTTTAAAATTCGTACCCCGCAGGATGCGACGTGCTGTGAAAATTTTGGAAGATTTCACCGAAGGAATTTCAAGAAAATCATAAGCAAAGCCAAAAAAAGTAAAAAAACACGTCGGTTTCGGCATTTAAGAGGCCCTGCGCCTAAGAAACGACCGATGATTTCCGGCTAAAAAATAAAATCGGCCGATTTTTATCTCCCAGGTAGAGGTTACCGAATGCTATTTAAAAATGAATTTCTTTTGTTTCAGTTTCGCTTTAAACCAAAAATATCGAGCTGCAAACTTTTTCCGTCTGAATATCAGCAAAATCAGGCCGAAAATAAGGCCCCGCTAAAAACTGTTCAGAAATTACTATTGCAACGCAAAATAATGAGGAAACTACACAGTGTTGAANAAAAAAAAAAAAAAAAAAAAAACATAATTTAGATCATTAAAAAATCTTTCAACACATGGCGATGGAGAAACTTAACCCTTTTGGGTAGAACTAAAAAAAAAATGATAATAATAAGTTATGTTTTGAGCATCGCAAATCTGCTTAACCAAAGATTTGTTTTTGGTTTTATGGCACTCATTTGATAATATTTTAGAAACGGATACGAATAGTATATTACCCTATTACCCTGAAGGTAATAAGGTAATATACTTCGAACTTGTTAAAGAGATTGAAATTATCCCAACTTCTATGACTAAATATGACAAAATGTCCCCAACAACCGATTTAACGGGTGAAAGCTCGAGCAATTAAGATTTTCACTACTCGTGACACTCGATAACGTTTTCAAATTGCACTCGCCTAAAGGCTCGTGCAATTTTGACAGAATTTTCAAATATCACTCGTAGTGTAAATCCTTAATTGCACTCTCATTCATACTAATAAAAAAAACATATCAGCTCACACAAGACAATCTTTCGGTACAACATGTCCACGCTACGTGACCCATCGATTGAACAGCAAATGATTTTGACGCTGCTACATCAGTGCCCATGATACGTGTCCCTTCGTACAAACAGTACTTGATTCTGTTTCTCCTCCCTTCGAGTGATTCGTAATTTAAAGGAGAAAGTCACGGATTAAACGTCATAGCTTTTCAAACTACGATACTCCAAATGTTAAATCAAAGAGTTCTTAGAGCCTACTTCTGAATGCAAAAGCCCTTGCCGGAATTAGTTCTTACCGATGTAAGTCATTTGAAATTCAAGAACTGAAACGAAATGTATTCCTTGCCTTGTTTCTATGCGCTGTTGACAGGCGCCGTTGCGCTTGGTCGGCGAAGAGCTTGAAACAAGCTGCCTCTTTTAGTACATTTTTATCTCCAAGCGTACTTGCTTCGAGAAACGGGAACAGCAATACATACATTACTGTCGGCTTCAATCCGACAGCTTCACACAGTTCTAAACAAAGCTGTCACAAAGACTAATGCGTAGAACTTTTCGCTATTTCGAACATAGATCTATTCTCGTTCAAGAATACCGAAAAGGAACAGAATTACTAATACATACATTATTGTCAGCTTCAATCTAACACCTCAATATCCTGTATTCGCAAAACAGTTACTTGTAACAAACAAAGTTCGGTTGAAAACCTTAACAATCTGTTATCAAGACCTTGTTCACTTGCTTAAAGAGTAAATACATTATCAGCATTTCGTTTCAGATCAAAGCCAGAAGGTGGCGAAGGTTATACGCTTATACAAGGCTACTAAACACTACGCACAAAATACTTCTAAAGGTTATTTAGTTCAGTAAATAAATTATTGGCGCCTTCATTTCGTTTCAGATCACCAGAAGGTGGCGAAGGTTTAAAGAGATTTACGCGTATACATGTTAAGGGTAGCAGTGGTAGCACATTTGAAAAACAGCGTCCATTATTTCATTATTCGCATCAAAGATCCGACGGCAAATCTGCAAATTTTCAAATGATAAAGCGACGTACACCGTCAGCAGATTTGCTGTAAAGTTAACAGGAAGTGATCGAGTGACAAAGTCAAACTCGCACCCATAACAATACTTCTGAATGCCAATAAATTTGGCATTCAGAATCAAAAAATGGAAGTAAATTTTTATATTAAAAAACTGATCTAAAGAATAGTGATGTGCAGAGGTAACTTGGGTTGTCTGGAGACCTGCCAGATTATGTCAGCACGCCTTCTGTCCCAATTTTTGTTTTCATCCAATGGTAATAAACTACGACAAAAAACACACCTTTCTTCCATCAGTGGTATTAGAAGTCAAACGATCTCTTGAAAGTCCCAGAAGGGCTATCGGTCTAATCTGAAATCAGTCAGAGGAACAAGATTAAATTAACAATTTTCCGAGCCTGTGATTTGTAAAATTATATTTCTCAGGAAAAATACCTGGAATATATATGAATCATTGAAGAAATGTATATAACACTGAGTTGCTCAAAGTCTGTAGTCCGGCGGCATAGCTTTTGAATTGTGTGATTTTTGATACAAGCACCAAACATTGTAGGATTATGGGCAAACTAACTCTGATTAATTCCTGATATAGTGCCAAGCTCAATTTTACAATTCCAGCTAGTTAGCGATAATTAGATTTTTCACTCATCAGACCCCTCGCGAAGGTCTTGTTCTTTTCGAAAATTAATCCACGTTTTTACTTTATGGTTTTACGTTATTATGCACGTGGTACTAGAATTGTCATTTTTCGCCATTTTTTATGCAAAAGCAGCTAATTTTCCCGTAAGAAATATTAAATGAATAGAGGCCTTAATTTGCATAAATCTGGACTTGCTCTTGTTACCCTCACATTTCTGTAACACATTCTCTTGGTTTGAAGGTGGGAGTGGCATCTCATTCTAAATTTTTTAAATGCAATTCGATGCAACTACGTACAGTACAAACCGTTGTTAGAAAAAGAAAATGGTTAGCTTGAACATATAGGGGATGAAATGGGTTGATTTGGTAAAACTTAGACGAGAGAATGGCATTGCTCGGTCATTTGAAAGTCAATGTGACACTTAGTATAAATCTTGACGAATTCCACGGAACGAAACTGGACCACATATTAAAATGGAAACTATCTCGGCCGAAGAAGCACCAAACAAACACAAAGTATTTTCCAAAAGCAAAAATGTTCCAGTATGTTCCTTTTGGAAGCAACCGGCTACGGAGGTTAACAGTGATTTAAGAGAGGCGAGTACAAGTTCTCGACTGCGATCCTGCGTCCGATCTGTTGCTCACGAGTTATGCCATTTGAATCTAGTATCTAAGCTAAATATCCAATGATTGCCCTTGGAGCCAAATATCACGTGAGTTATCTATAGCAGCGCTGATCAACCACGCGCGAAAACTTAACAATATAATGGAGAAGTCGTCAAGAAAAGGGAAAATGTAACAGCCAATCTATTATTATAGCTGAGTTGATTTCCCACATACAAAATTCTAGAACGCGACAGCCGCGCACTACCGTTTCCAAGCTCTCGGACTGAGAAAGGGGCTGTTCAGCAAAAAGCGTGGCAGCAGGGAACCAAGAGATACACGTGTTATTAATTGCTCACACCCAAGTTAGAGAGGTGTTGCTAATGTTTGACGAAAGCATAGGATGACTAATGTTTTTACGCTTCTTTTGAGGAAAACGATGGCTATGTGATGTGTTTTGGACGCACGGCTAACACAGTACGTAAAGAAATGTACAATAGATGATCCACAGCCATCGGACCTTTTTCTCAGAACTGCCGAAAGAAACCATTACCCCAGACTTTGCTGGCATCGGTAACCATGATTCTTGCGGGACAAACGCTAAATACCAGTCATGAAGCGCGCCCGTAAATTCAAAGAATGTACTCGGCATGTCAAATGTCAACAGATCCCTGTGTTAGTATGCATAGGCGTGATGCTGCATGCATATATACCTGAGCGAGAAAGAAACTGTTGAAAGATTGCATGCTATTGGCATGTAGATAGCCAAGAGCAACAGTGCTATGCTTGTCCTATATCAGATCTGGCAAATGCAGTTGTGAATACCTAAAAGAAATGGGCACAGTATGCCCTCCTAAGCTGAAAATGGGCATTTTTACTGCAGAAGCAGTAGATCAAATCGATAACGCGTCATCGACAACCGCTATAAGCCAACTGTAAAGATTGTTGCAAAAAGAGCTGCGGCAAAAGATGTCAAAGCGCTACTACCCTGCTTTATGTGTGTGATGACCAATTCATTCGCGACTAAGTTTATTGCGATTCGCAAATTTAAAAACACCTAAAAAATCTATAGGTTTTATTGCAGATAATAGTCAAACCAACCGGAGGCCCATCGACAAGATGCAGAGCTTTCTTTGATTTTCAGCAAACGTGGTAATTTTTTTGTTTCCATGGCAACGCGTAGTTAACGGCGACTTGACATATGCTAAAACATAACGAACTTGTAAAAAAGTTGGAACCACTGAAATGAAAGTATTTTGCTGATAAACTAGGGTAAACAGAGTAAGTTCATGATTCTTCATAAATTTTTGTTTCAATGGAAACCAGTGGACGCCGAACTTGGCACTATACCTGAAAATGTATTGGTGACTACTATTAGTGTGCCAAACTTGATGCTTGTATAGGAAAGTGAACAATTTGCCTGAAATTTCGAGTTATGCCACTGGACTACTAGTCAAATCAACAACCTTCAGTTTTCATTTTAAAGTGCTCAGTACTATGACGAAATTAGCATCTTCCCTATCTAAGCCATTTTAAAGCATAAACAAGTAGTTTATACGAGAAGAAAAATGCTGTTTAATATTTTGAAATATCTCTTTTCATTCCAGAGATATTCGGGCTTTTAAATATGCAAATTGGCCAAGTGATGACATCATAACCTCGACCGAACTTTGATCAAATATGATGAAAAAAGATATCTCAGCCAATTTGTATCAGAAATGAGAATCAAACATAATAGCCTTTTAAAGCGAAAAGTGAAGGTTGTTTTCTGGCCACCTTTGGCGTTTCATTTTGATATTTGCCAACGATGCTCCATCTGCATGATCCAGTAAGCACATAAATATCTTAGAGGTTGATATTATAACACATTATCAAAAAAGTGTCATAAAAGTTGGGTGTATAACCCTTCTTCAGTGTTCAGAAAACCGTTATACTACTACAGTAGTATAACGGTTTTCAGTCTGCAGGAGTATAACGGTTTTCTGAACACTGAAGAAGGATTATACACCCGAAACGTCTGTTTCTTCAAAGACTTTTATGACACTTTTTAATAATTTGTTACAATATCAGCCTATAAACTATTTAACTGCAAGTGTCACGCATCTTTAACGGTGTTTCCGTTCACCACTCATTTAAAGCATATAAATATGTTAGGTCGAACTAAAAATGTTAAAATCGCAGTCAGGGATGGACATCAGTAGTATACATTCGAAGTTCAGTTTGACGCTGACTCTACTAAAACGTACAAAACAATAATTATAGCTACTTATTCAAAGACGTCTCGACCGAACAACTTCGGTCTTCGTCGGTTTAAAAAGCCAACGGAAATTACTGGCTACCTAACGGTTCAAGTCAAGTCAAGTCATCTTTATTTAAGCAGGGTAGCCCCATCAGCCATAGGCTGGTATCAAAAGGCGCCTGCGTAAAATTAAGACTAAAGGATAAAATTCCCTCAAAGTTATGTACAAGGATTTTAAAAATTGAATAAAAAGGAAATTACATATCTATGAAGTACAATTTTTCTAGATCAATACAATTAAAGGTTCACAGTTCTGCGCGTGCTACGTCAGCGAAATGTAACGAGCCACTGCTGAGCGACATAACAAATCACGTGAGTGACTTGCAAATATTCGGAATGTCGATATGTAAATGTTCGTTGCCCGCATTTCGGTTTCTACGAGAATACCAGGCCTCGAGAAAAAGTCTCTTATGGCAATCACGAGCCTTGTCCACAACTGTGGTGTGATTAAATTCTATGTCATGGCCAAACTGATTGGCGTGTTGTGCTACCTTCGAGTTACTGTCTCCAACTCGAACCGCCCTCTTGTGATCTTTTAATCGAGTTGTCAAAACTCTATCTGTCTGTCCATAATAGACGAAGTCACAGCCAAGGCAATCGATTTTGTAAACCACACTTCTTGACTGAAAAGTAGGGGGTTTGTCCTTGGGCCGTGGGAAGCGAGCGCGTAAAACATTAAGAGGTTTGAAACCTATTTTAACATTGTTATCGCGTAACACCCGTGAGACTTCCTCAGAGACGCCTCTGACATAGGGAATGACCACTGAATTGCTCGAGGTGAAAGATCTCTAGCGTCGGAGCTGTCGCAGTTCAGTGGTAGAAACGTCGCGAGAGGGGTCGCGGTAAGATTTGTGATTTTTGATGAACCGCAAAGGGTAGCCTGTTGTTAACCCGCAAGACTTTGAGAACATGTTTCCTCCCTCTGGATCGTTCTGGTTGTGTCGATGGTACAACTGATTGCAGTGTATTAGGACCCACATCCCCTCATTCAGGGCGAGTAATGCCTGACCGTTGTAGTCGTAATTCACGAATTATGACGGCGGAACAAAAGTCAATCGTTTGGTTTAATCCGGTTCGGTCCTTCTTCATTACCGACTGCTCCGGCACACAACACTGATCGTTTGTGTTGGACTGGGTTATGGGAGTTGTAGTCGAGGCATCTGTCTGTATGTGTTGGTTTTCTGTATACACTTACTCGTATCTCTCCATGCACCCTGGTGGTTGTAGTGTCCAGAAAAGAAAGCCTCTTGTCTTCTACTAAGCAGTATGTTTAGGTTTACAGAGTTCAGATGGTTATGGATCTCTTCCACCGACTCTTTCTTTAAGCAAGTATGGCAGGTAGGTCGAGTTCGTGGCCTTGCTACATATTAAAATCAGGTTGGAGGGGACTGGAAAAGAGCGAGTTGCCATGGGAACATAATTTTTTATCATGGTAGGTGTGTTGCCGTAGAACTATTAGCCTACTACGTTTCAATGTTCTCTACTGCAAATTGACCGAGTTATCTCTTGCTATATAGTCATCAGTCCCCTAATCTGCATATTATATACATTTTTTAAACATAAATATCTCCGGAACCAACGCAGATATTTCCAAACACTAAACGGCCTTTTAAATCTTTCGTGTAATTCTATGTGTTTAAAAACGTAAAAGTTCAAGGGGTAAAAATTTAATCATAGTAGCACTTCAATGAAATTCGCTGCATCCAGCTTCCGTTCTGACTCGCGCACAAACATCAACGACACATTTGGAAAACAGGATAGAAAGACAGGACGGAAAGACTGTACACTCCTTAGCAAACTGACCAACATAACAACTAGTGCCGGCCTATGATATGTATTTTCAAAACCCGCTATTAGAAAAATGTAAAAAAAGTGTCATCTAGTGGACAAAAGTACAACCGTTTAAGACATAGCCCTTATGGGTTTTCTAAATTTTATTTTCTTTTGAATTTAATAGGGCAAATGTTGCATTGAAGTAAAGAGAATAACTGGAGGGATTCTCCATGGTTTTCCTTATCTTGCACAATCCACCTGGAAGCGATAAGTCGATCGGTCGGTCGGTCAGACAGTCTGTCTGTTCCTTCCCTTGGTGCGTCAGTCGGCGAGGTACATTTGCATTTGCAGGATAGTATTAGCGAAAAAACAAAAGCCTAGTTGAAGTTACTTCGTAATTATGCGAGAATATATTTTGAGAGTGACTTACTTGTACGACGTTGATGCTGCTGTTTCGTTGATCAGCGCCTACAAACACAGTAAACAGCGGTCCTACAGCCAGTTTTCTCCTCATTAAAGAAATATATTTTAACATGTCCCAGGACTCCTCATTCCAATCGTCTGAGGTTACAGTCCAAGATCCGTATTCCTTTATCAGATCGTGTAAAGGCTTGGAACCCCTTCTGTTAATTTCTTCTGTATTTATACATGACTTGTAATAAGCTATCCCTTTCTGAAAGGATGCAAGCTGTAACAGATACACAAATGTGTTTAATGGACATCTTATTTCGATCTGTTTGCATTTTTTTATACCAACTTAGATGTTTTTTCGGCCGGAAATTAGAATATGTCATAACCACCCACCCTCCAGAGGCCGATCCCTCCCCCGGACCCATAAAGCAACTTAAACGTTTTGCTCTTCTCCCCCTGGATGGATGTAAGTCGCCAGCGTTTGGTCAAGTCACCCATCTACAATGCATTTTCGAGAGGCAATTTTAGATTAATGTGTCTTACCCAGAAATGAAACACAAAGACCATGGGCGACCACGTTTAGACTAACCCAAACTAATTCAGGATAAGCAATAATTTTGATTTGCTTTTTTTTTAACTTTGCGGTAAGGTTTTCTGTTTACATTGTTTGGCCTTCAGAGTTCGAATAATCTCAAACTACAGAAGCATTTTTATACAAGAACAAATTTATACCCGCAATATGGTCACGTGATACTGGTTTGCGGATACCTTGTCTTGACAGGTGTCAATTGACCATAACATGGTTGTCCAGTGTCAAAGATGTACGCTGTAAACCAAGGCTGCATGTCTCGGTCAAATTAGTAACTGGAGTATGGCCGCCATGTTGCACGAGAAAAGCAAGTCACGGGTTTCTATGATAATGGGGCTCCGCTTGGCGACCCTTTGGGCCGCCGGAGCTCAGCTATAAAAATAATGCTTCAAGTGCCTTATTTCATTGAGTCAAACTAGCAAGGAGTCAATGATCAAAACATGCCTCTTTGGTGCCGTTATTGTGCAGACAGTGGAATTCGTCACAACAAACATGTTGTCAAAGCAGGGGATGCGAAAAAACACTAGGGGATGCCCCAAAGATCATATTTGCTACTGAAAAGCAGAATGGGATCCGAAATGGAATAGAACTGAGGGAAGCGTTTCGGTTCATCACACCTTCCACCTTCGAGTCATTACTCTTGGATCACTTGGAAGAATTGTCCATAAACCCTCTCTCCACGATTCGTTATTGCTACGGCGCGTAGCAAGATGGACTCCGAGACATGAAAGACGCTGGTGTACAATTTCGCGCAGGGATTCCTCACACAGACCATCTCAAGTCGTGGTTTCCGAACTGTGGATTACTCGTGTTAGACGATCTGATTGGTTCACTCAGCCAATGAACGTACCTTACTACTGACCTACTGTTTGAACCCAAGTCCTTTCCCCTCTTTGAAGCCCGTAAAACTCTCTAGCGAAATAGATCCTTTGTTTCCAGTCACGTGTTTAGAGTGTCCCCCACTCAGTGCATATCAGGAATAGTATTTTCTCGAATTTCCTGAGGCAAGGACAGCCTCGCAAAGAAATACCTAAGTTTTCAAACATTTCTTACCAGGAATTTCCGTTCCATTTGATTTTCGGTTGAATGGTTTTACATTTCAGAAATTTATCCATTATCGTAGTTCCGGCAGAAACTTTTCCACGAAATTTCCGCATTATTTAAGCCTGTTTCGAAAGTTTCGGAACTTTTGGTTGAATGGAAGTACAACAATTCTCAGCGGAAAAACCTATTGTTTATTGTCACAAAACATCATACAGACAGACACCGATAGACACAGTGTCCGGTTTGATAAACTGGAGTTGATGGATGTTTTATCACGATAACGATTTTGAGCATAATTAACCTGTATTTACAACCGGGAAAGTAAGCAAAATACGGTGAACATCGATCGATAGATGAATGGAGACTGGGTTTCTGCGGAACCAGTTACTCTGTCCGAAGTGAAACTCCAAAGTATTATCAAAGGTGCGTCAATTAATTTAATGTCAATAGATGCCATGTTACCGTGTGTGCCATGTTCAGTAATTGATCACATACGACGTCAAAATGTAATAAGAACAGAAAAATGGCACACGAAACCACACGAGGCGATAGTCGAGTGTGGCGTTGATGTTCTTACCAGTTCTACATTTTCACTCCTTTTGTGATCAATTACTGAACAGACGCAAGACAGCATGGAATGTATTTGTTCTATACAACTAATGCACTTTGCATATTTGGACACAGGGAGCAGAGGAGTCATATTTGACCGTATTTCCAGTTACATTCATCGTACAATTGTAGCGCGAATTGATCTGTTGTTGATTCAAATCACTATACGTATAGGTTTCAACAGACGCATGACACGATGCATCTACATAGTTGAAACACGTTTAGTGATTTGAATCAACAACAGATTGATTCGCGCTACAGTTGTACGGAGCATGTAACTGGAAATACGGTCAAATAGGACTCCTCTACTCCCTGTGATTTGATCATCAAAGTTTGATCGAATGACAGATAACGATTTGCACGTGAAGTTGAACTAGCGATGTATAAATTATATCCCGCATCAGCGACTCGTAAAAATGTCTTTAATAAAGTTTTAACTTGTACTGGGAAAAATATTTTCCAAAAAGACCTTTTATTTAACTATTTGCGAAACTCAAACTTCAGTTTCAGATCGCCAACACTTGTGATAAATATTTCTCGAGAAAATAAATTTCTGACCAGCCGACCCTGACAGACAGCGCGTCACCAATACTTATCTTGTCAACTTACCCTTGTGTTTGTATTATTTCATTTGCTCGAATTTACATCTTGTTTACAGAAATGAAAAAGGTTAACTTAGTTCTAAACACAAATCACGGCCTTCCGGCGAGCTACACGACAAGGAAAGTTTGTTTTCTGACAACAAATCATGGTCACTTGCCGGGCTAGTCCGAGCTACTCCGAGCTACAACTCGGAAATTTTTATTTTCTAACCACATATCCTGGCCATTTGCCAAGCTACACAACCTGAAAAATCTGTTTTCTGACCACAATTCGTGGAGCTCCAAATGCTCACTCTTGATGACGAGGGTTAACTTACTTATTGCCGAGAATCACAGCACCAAAGATTGAACACTTGCCTCGAATCTGTACTCGTGACTGTGCACGTGCACGCATGACGTAATCTGGCCCGGCTGCGGGGAGGCCAAAACGGTTAACTCGGTCGTCCCAAAAAATCTCGATACAGACTGGATTAGGATTGCGTTACACTTCGTGAACGCGATAAAGAAACCAAAACATGTTAATGACGTCTGTCCTTCAATTGATCGTAGGTCAGAACCAATGAAAGTGCGAAAACAATTCGGCACATTATATACTAGCTGTTGAACTCACTTTTGAATACTCAGCTTGCGTTTCTTTTGATTTCAGAATCTTGCGTATAAATTGATTACTTTCTTCTTCCATTTTGGTAAACTGATTCCACTCCTTCTTCTGATTGGGTAACGGGTTTTTCTTTTTCCATCCCCCACAGGCGTACTCATAAAAGTTTTCACAGGGATCAATGCTTGGATCTAAAACGTTGAGCAATTCTGCAAAATGAAAACAAAAAAAAACAAAAAAAACGATAAACACGAGGAACGATTGTGAACGTTTGCCTGTTGACACGGAAAGTACACTTATCAAGAAGAATGTTTATACAGGCGGATATGTAATGGATGGTTACTTGAACCAAGTAATAGTAATTGGACCGAGTGGAGTACAATTCACGGAGTAATCGCGCGAGTAATTTCAAAATCGGTCGAGCGCAAAGCGCGAGGCCGATTTGAAACTACGAGTACGATTACTCCCTAAATTGTACGACATGAGGTCCAATTACTAATAATCATATCTATAACAAATTTCGGAATTAAAAATGTCTTATGAGAACTTCTTTTGAGCGAAAACATCTGTAGCACTTTTCCTAAGTTTTGAAAACTGAACAAAACATTGCGAAGGAAGCCATAAAAGCGCGCGTAATTGACGTGCGAATCACGTGGGTATCCAATTACAGGTATCCAATTACAAAAAGTTCAAATTGGACGGCTGTAATTGGACACCCACGTGATCGCGCGACGATTGCGTGACAAATGGGCGCGCGAGGAGCCAATCACGATCGAGATTTTGTTATAGATACCATTATGACTGGCAATCGACTTGGATTCGCTGTTTGATCCGCTGCCATCACAAGCAGAATCAAGTACTGATAGTCCTACAAGACAGGAGGATTGGTAAGTTTTTACTTCTCGCATCTTTGCCGTGACCCTCCTAGGGACGTTATGCTGGTCTTCTGACCTAACCTAGGGTAAGCGGCGTCTTTGCTTCTTTCCTCCGTTTTTTCTTCTTTGCTCAACTCCGTTTTCGGCCGAGAGCTTTTTCTTTTACACTCAATTGTGCCAGTTTTCTGGCCGTTGCGTGTTTTTTCCTNTCAGGCTCCTGGCCTGTCTCAAGTCAAGGGCAAATTTCTATTTGCCTCTGTACTTCAAGCGTTTCCTCTCTCAGCGGCGTCGTCGCCTCTTCCATCGTCAATGGGGTGCTAATGGCGTCGTTGGCCGTGTCTCTGACGGTTCCTTTAAACTGAGTTTTTGAGCGCCTGGTTTTATCTAGAACTTTTTGGTTTCTTCGTTTTTATTACACGTATTGAAGTCTTTGGTCTCTTTCCCTAGTCCTGGTCGCCTTTGTTGGATGTACTGAGCTAGTTTTTTTTTTTTTTTTTTTTAAATCAGTCTTTCTTTTCTCGCTTTTACTGCATGTGCTAATGTTTTTAAACTGTGTCTATTGTCTTTTGCCTTTTATGGTGGGGCGGGGGTTCGACTCCCCGGCGAAGTTGGCGAGCCGGCCTCGTATGAGGGTGCTCCCCCTCTTTGGCGGTACTTTTTCATCTACGCCTCTATGGTCGGTGGACATTGCACTGCGTCCATCGTACCGCCTTAAATACAAAAAAACTTTAAAAACCCAGAAAACATGCCTCTCATTTGCGCATAGCAGGTACTAGAGAGACAAGACAAATGACGTAAAACTTTAACTGAACCTGTTACCATTGTTAGCGAGTGGAATTTTCTTGGGCGAGCTCGGAAAGTCGTGGTTATGAGAGGGAGCTTCCTATGGAGTATACGAGTGAAGCTGAGTGACGAGTGACCGGCAAGGAGTACACAAGGGAAAATAAAGGACAATTTTTGGTTGGTTGATCATTTATACTTCTCGCAAATCGGAGCTGAGTGAAAAGGCCTTAATCGTATTACCGGCTGTGACTACGAGCAGTTTCTCTCTTTTGCCCTAAGATGACTGAGATCCGCGAGGGGAAAGCGCAAACGAACAAGCAGAGTCCAGCGACGAAACCGCGAGCTGCGAGAATCGCTAGGGTCGGAAGAAGAAACAGGTGGTAGATGGTTTTTACTGATTTTAAGCTTCACTGCTTTGTCTAGGACATAGCAGTGAAGCTAAAAACCACCTAAATTGCCTTAAATCGATCTAGAAACCTCTAAAGAACAAAGGAAACATACACCTGAAGCAAGGTAGGCTTATCTTTTTTCATACTCTTTCATGTTTTTTAGGGTTAAGAATATAACGGTTTTTCCCTTATAAATCGTCATATTTGACTGGTGTGTCTGTATGTACATGGATGTTTAAGTTACTTGCGAACTCGCCTCCTGGTTTGCGTTCTTCCCTCGCGGATCTTAGTGCAAAAAAGGAGACTGTCTGCAGTATATAATGCACTCAAAGCTTTTAAAAGGAGATGAAAGCAAAGTTTGTAAACTCCATGGACTCCCATGTAAAAAAGACGGGAGTACTCGACGGAAAGTTTGAAAAAACCCTAAGAAGTATTAGGATCTTGTTTTGTGGGCGTGGATTGAATTTTTTTTCTCCCCTAAAAGGTACCAATCTTACGCAACAAATTATCTCCTGTCATATTTTTTCGGCTCAATACCCTAAAAGGCACCGCAAAAGCTCCCGCTGTGGACCTTTTGAGGCTGAACACCCTAACAGGTACCAAACCGCGTTTTCAAGCCCTGAAAGGTACGACGAGCACTCCCGTCATTTTTATATGGGAGTCTCCCCAGGCTCCTTATCCTATTCGTGGCAAGAGAGGTTTACTTGATCGCAAAACCTCTGTTGAAATGAAGTTCATTCCTTCAAAATGTGCTTAAGGTTTTTACCTTTTTAAAAATATATAAAAACGACGTCAAGTCGGTCTCCTAGCGTTCTCCTAGCAACGGCAAGTTACAGCTTCATGGGGATGCGTACCTACGCAAGAAAGGAAATTGACGTTTCTGGGTGCCATCGCGACGTCTACCGTGAAATGAGCAGCAGGGGAGAGCCCCGTTCATAATTCGCTCTATGCTCGATATGTTTTCCCCTTTAAATTATGTAAATCCATTATATATGTTTCTTTTAAAGATGGATAAATAAAGCTTATTATTATTATCATCATCATCATCATCATCATTATCATCATCATTATTGTTATTATCATATTGTGTTTTTCCGTTTACGTTTCCGATTACTCACCCCGAGCTTTAGACTAGGTAGGCTACCTCTGCTTCTACTTGGCCAGAGCGCGTAGATAACAGACCGACAGCGACCCATGCCGTGCCCCCCATTTTATACTTTTGTATATCGAATAACTCAACAATCTGTAACAGACTTATTAGACTGCGAGCTAACCTCCAAAGTAGACACTCTTTGGGTTCGTCACGCAATCTTCGTGGCAGAAAGATTGCGTGACGAGCCCAAAGAGCGTCTGCGAAGGAGGCTAATTGCGAGCAGTCTCTCTTTTGCTCGCAGTCTATGTCAGACTTAAAAGAGTTATGTTCTGACAGCGTTACCTGTGGATGTGATAACACAATCCTTCGTCACGCATGGGTATACGCCTTGATGTAACCCCTCTGTTGACTCCTCTTTTATTGGTGAGTTTGAATGGACTTGTACATAAAGAAAGCCGAAGACAACTGCCAAGAGAATGAACATGGAAAGCAGGAATGCTATAAAGCCAACTAAAAGCTTTTCTCGTTTCGTGAGCTGTTTTTTGGAGTTCTCGTCCTCTTTTGGCTGTCTCGCTATCAGCAATTTTTCCGACACGGGCGATAGTTGCACATCACGCTGTGAAAAAAAAGAGAAAAAACTGAATAAATAAATAAATAAATGAATAAATAAAATAGAGTGTAATAAAATTTAAATTTCCAAAAATTGAGCACTTTTTAGCCAACTACTGTCAAAACATATCAGAACTAAAAACATGGACAGTTTCGCCTAGAAGATCGTGAAGACTTGCGTTACTTTTATGGGGCCACCTATGGGTTACGAGATTTAAATCTGTTTCCCGTATGAAAAATGTATACGAGAATTTTGTAAAAACGATGTAAAATAATGGACGAAAAACTGATTGCTAAAATGATGATAACACAAGCAGCCTTATTCTGTGACGTATAAATACCTCTATGTCATTTTAAACGTTCCTCATCACAGCTTGTCGATAAATAATGTTTTCTGTTTCTACTCCCTATCTACTGTTTTTCAACAGGGCGGTTTTCCCCATTCCTGGATAGGTGGTACATTATAATCAACAATTGCTCTGTTGGTCAGTTTCATTTCACGACTTAGGTGTTAAAACTGTAGATGACTAAAAGGTTTGTGCCTCAATAATGACGCAAGGATTTACATGCTGTAGTCTCTTGGTTTCTTTGAACGACGTAATCAAAACAGGAATCGGAGCCTGCAAAGCATAATGGTCTGTTAGTTCAATCGAAAGAAAAGGCACAGAATGTGTACATGTGCCTACACGTGGAACCGTTTTATGCTACGTGCACCGAGCAATCTATTTGTCACCCATTTGTTTGATCCAGAGCTTTCCGTCCAACTAAACAGAGTAACGCAGTAGCAAGTAACGAGTAACGGAGCAACGAGGAAACAAGAAACGGCTAAAGAATTCAAAGGGTTAGAATTAAAATCTTTAAAAGATGCCCCGAATCGGTTATAATCCATTTTCATTATTAACATGTAATAGTCAGTTCTACAAGGCCAATTCACAAAGCAAGCCTGTCGATTCGTGCTCTTAACGGCCCATAAGCTACAAAGTGAGTGTAAAATAAAATTGTTGTGGCTAAATGACCAGCAACCGATCCAGGTCGTCAAAACACTAACTCACCTGCAGTCCGAATTTTTTTGTTTTAAATTCTAGTAATATAAAAATCAAAAGATTTTAGCCAATCCAAAGTATGATATGTCGACTAAGAAGTGCTAACGGCGATTCAGAAGAGCATTTTACCGTATTTCATCACTGAAGTTAGTTGGGCAAAGAATCTAAGACATGACTGGCAGTTGTGACACTTGTGTTCTGAATCTTGGCACACTGGTCAAGGTTTTTAAAACACTTCTTTTACTTCCGGTAAATCGTAGTTTGGATTGGCTAAGTTCTTTTGACACAATGTCCATTAAAATAATGGCTTAATAGGCACCGCTTCACATTCGTTCAGCTGGCGCATACTCTACAAGGCGTAATCTTTTCACAAGCAAAGAATTCTAGAGGGCCAAATGATCCAACAATGACAACCCAGCTCAAACTGTTCCCATCAGGAATTACTTAACGAGTATAAAATTATGCTGGTGGCGTACGACCTTTCTACCCTCATGTCGAAAACGTTTCGTTTTCTACTTTTTTAGATGCTTTTAAAACATTCTTGACCTTGTTAAATATTTTGTCGTGTCTGGTTATGATTTCCTCTCCCTTTACAATACTGCTGTGTAATGTAGAACAACTTTCGCTGCTACACTTTGTAGCTCTTGCAGTCGAAATACTTCTTGCCCCTACGCCTTCTTCTGACGTTTCTTAAAATATTGAGGTTGTACGGAGATAAATTAAACTATGTCAGTACGTCGATTACTCGACCATCTATTGCAGAGAAAAACTCGCTTCGATAGTTACTACAGCTTTCGACTTCACTCCAAGAGTACAGGGGTTTTTAACCTCATAAAATCTGAAGCCTTGTGGCTGCCAACCAAAGTAAAAACCAATGCCATACAAAATTGCCCCAAGAACCAATGTCAGCTCTCCGAGAGAATTTACTGTTTCACCTTTGATCAAAAACAGTATACTATAAAACATTGAAGAATACAAAAGCAAAAACCGACACAACGTAGTGTGATTTTTTGAAGGTGTACTATATTCCGGCTGGCCAAACCAGCCTTCTTCAGGTACAATGGAAGATTTTACATTGNGTAAAATAAAATAACATGATAAAAGAACATAATAAAAGAAAACAAATGGAAACAGTTAATATGTTTCTTCAGATGAAAGTGGCCTTTATGGACTGGGGAGTGGCGGCCGTTATGGGGAGGGGTGTAATGTGCCACTTTTTTTAGGAGGTTGCAGCATTTGTATATTTAAAAAATACTTCCAGTAGCATAGAAATATCGAACACAATCAAAATATATCAATAAAGCAGAAAGAGAGGCAAACGCTGCGTAGTGCGGATCACGTTTCGTGACCTTTTACAATATAAAATGGGGTTTTGTATACATGTATACCATTCGTCAGTCCTTGATTTACTTGCCGTTGTGGAGAGGTTATTTTGGTAGTTTGGGACGAACTTTAGTGGCCGTTGTCGTTGTGAAGAGGTGGGCGTTGTAGAGAGGTTAAAATAAAAGTGAATGTATGGACTGTCCGCCAGGACGAAAAAAAAGTGGCCGTTGTAGGGAGGTGGCTGTTAGTGGAGGTTCGACAGTATATTATGGAACTAGCGTGAGGTCCGTATTGGAGAAATATTGCTCAATTTTTTTTTTCGCAGATTCATGGACCGAACCGCACTTGCAAAGGAAAAAAAGAACGAGACCAATATTCTCCAATACGGACCAAAACAAGCTAGTTCAATAACACAATGGCCCTTTTTAACATGTTAAATTGATTTGCCTCCACGATGTATATTCTCGATAAACGCGCGCGCGAAAGGTAAGCATTTATTTAGAATCTCACATCGCTTTTGTGAACATTTAACTGAAATTGTCCTCCAAACACGAAGATAAAAAGATTTAAACACGGCAAAAAACGGTTGTTTTGTGCAATTAATTTATTGATTCATGAGCAGTCCATCTTAACGAGCCGTATTGTTAAATTCGAACCACTAGGGTAGCCTGCGTAGGAGTCTTTTCCGTTTCCTTTCAGGCAAGCGGGAGTCGCGCGAGGGCACGGGGACAGAGGTAAAAAAAAAAATTCGTGGCACGGGGAGGGACAGGGAAGGAAAGCCTGCCCCTCCCCCCAGCCACTAATTTTTTTTTGTTACCTCTGTCCCCGTGCCTTCGCGCGACTCCCGCTTGCCTGAAAGGAAACGGAAAAGACTGCTACGCAGGCTACCACTAGGGGAATCAGTCAGAATTCTCTTCTTTATCGCCAATTAGTTTGGATCTAAAATTAACAGAGCAACCTGAACACTGCTGATTAGCACTGAGTATGGTATTATCGATGAGGTGGTCCAATTCTGTACCAATGCTGTTCACACCAAATGCCATTTAGCACATCGAGTGAAACCTGGCAATGTTTACTTCCTGGACAGTAGAAATATTAAAAAATGTTACAAGACAGCCGACCAGTCAGATTGATTGAGGCTTCGGGCAGTTTTCTATAACTTGTCTTCAAAAACGTTTCAATTATGAACGGAAAAATTAAAGGAAGGTGTCTCGACTGTGATCATAGTACGACAAATAATTTAGTCAATTGAAATTTATTATGTTTCCATTACAAGACGTTGAATGGGCTGATATGCAGACTATTGTGTTAATTTCTGTAATATTGAAAGCCTAAATTTATTATTGTCCGGCCTGAGGCCCATCGATAAATTATGTGTTAAAACTGTTTGCACCCAAGCTGAGAAAATTTGACACTAACTCCCAGAAATTAATTTGCATACGGTAATATAATTTACCGGCTTTTACTAATTCTTAACCGAAAGCTAAAGCTTTTTTAATCCAAGTGCAGTAGCATGGACAACTTCTTTGGAATAAAGTCAGTGGAGGTCCAAGCAGTTATTCGCAAATCTAAATTAATGTCGAGATCTTGAATAACCAATTTAATCCGTACTGGGAAGAAAACGACAGCGACTAGAGTGCACTAGTTTACTAACAGGCGACCATACACCTAAGTTCTTTGAGAATTATTGAGATGCAAATCATTCCCAGCATATGACGTTTTATATCAAGTTTCGCTTGCCAACCGTTTTCAAAAGTCTGAAGAACGTCAATTTAAATGGAATAATGCAAGTTCACGTTCAAGCTCAAGGTTCTTAATTGAACAGTGTTTTCGGTACGCAGAGCGCAGAGCTAATTTAATTTAACTATAACTTTAGGGCGAGCATTATAACTATAACGAAAGGTTTCACTGACCCGACGGAGCACTTTAACAAATGACAGTGCACTGATTGTGTTATCTATCATGTATTATTCTTACGTCCGCTCACTTGGCCACGTCAACAGACGATAGATATGAAGTACGTGAGCAAAACCGTGCAGATTTAAGTGGACTGTGTACTTACAAAACTTGTTCTTCTTTCCGACACCGAGGAATTTTTATCCAGTTCCATCGCCAGCGGGATGTTCAGTGTTCTTTCTCAGCTTTCTCGTCATGCAATAGAACCGCTATACATGCCTCAATTAACGCAATTAATGCAATTGAACAATCACAGTTTACTATTGTTTTAAAATGCTAATTTTGCATCTGCCTGCCAACTGACGTTTTTAATGCATCAGTGCTTTAGTAGGCTCAGCTCAATTTTAGGCCCTCCGTCATCCTTCGGCGGGGAGCATGGGCTCCTGTTTCGAACAGCGACTGATTAACCTATTGTTGCAAGCTGAGGGTTAGTCTGCCTGGTGGGAAAGTTCATGCAAGTCGAATTTGCTTTTTTTTTTTAAATGATGGTTTATGTAGTACACGAGCTGAGTTTAAATTCAACGTCAGATGACCGGTTGTTTATCGTCCATAATCATGGCACATGAACGTTTGTCCTCCTGTGACGGTTCTGTCCGACTTGAAACTGTGTAACTGATGATCTGTGTCTCTAGGAACGGATTTTGTCGCTCTGGACGACCTGACTGACGTCACTTGTAGGTAACCGAAGGCTGGGGACTTTTATGGTTTGGAGGGATACCTCCCTTCAATCACAGCTCTTCAAAATTGTTTTACATCTTCGTGTTTTAAACAAAAACACTGACGTTTAGTAAACTTACTAACTTTTAATTGCTCTTAAGGTACCATGCAGGCTCAGTTTTTCAAATAAATCCATTTTAAATATTCGTACCTAATGCCATGCTCGTTTAGAACATGGCTAATTGGAGGAGAGACACAAAGATGACATTATCGACATTTTTTGTCACCTTATTATATGAAACAAATAGATTCCCTATTGCTGTGCTTCTGTTCAGTAATTGATCACAGATGATCGACGTCAAGACGTGATAAGAACAAAAAAAGTGGCATACGAGCCTTTAGGTGAGTGTGTCACCATGATAGCGACACATGCAGGCATCTTCAGTCTTGTTAGCTCTTTTCTCTCTCTTCTCTCTTCTCTTAAGGGTGCCTTTCTTTAAGAAAGTCCAAGATTGGATTCTTAAATCCGAAAGAATCCGAAAACGGATTTTGCGTTTATTTACTAAACAGATCAATCCAAGATCTCTCGGATCATGGTGCGTCAAAGGAACCGAAAAATCCAATCGATTCTTCGGTTCCTTTGACTTACCATGATCCGAGAGATCTTGGATTGATCTGTTTTGTAAAGAAATACAACATCCGTTTTCGGATTCTTTCGGATTTAAGAATCCAATCTTGGATTTTAACGCACACTACCCATATTGCGATGAAACTAACGAAAACGAAATACAATATAATTATTTTGTCCACAAAAAATAGAATATACGTTAATTCTCATTAAAGACTAATATAGAACAGGCTAACTCATTGGTACTCACCAAGCCATATACCCCGCACGCTATTCTTGTGAAGAATGAAATCGATCTCGCGGCAATTATATACAGCGTTTTTCATTGTCACGCAATAAAAAATAAAATAAAAAACCATTTAGTGAACAAAGTCAAGAAATTGTGATATTGTAGAAGATGAATAAAGAGGACAGTACTCCAAGTTTAAGGTGTGTGCGTTGTCCCAAAGTTGAGAGATTCGTCGAAATGTTCCGAGCAAATTTACAGAGCCTAGTATGGAGCCGCCATTGGTGTTCCTCTGAATGTACAACAATATGGCGGCCGGAAAATAGAGTTAACATCAGGAACTTACGGCTTTATGGCTTTCAAGAGACCTCACAATATATGGCAAGTCTTTACTGGTGAAAGCTTTAGGTATATCACAGTTAGTATATGCAGCATCTATGCTGACCGTTCCAGAATCGGTTATTAAGACAGTTCAAGAGAATCTGTTCGCCTTTCTATGGAAAAACAGGAAAGACAAAATAAAAAGAATGGTTATGTATCAACCAGTAGCAGAAGGAGGAATTAATTTTGTTAATT